GGTATCACTCTATTATACACATTCATCACACCCCTTTACAGATGTGGTGTCAGGGTACCTAACTACCACTGACCATTCTTCCCCTGCAGATCAGGCACAAATTATTATCAATGGGAAACTTTGAACAAGCTCACATAAAACCATCTTCCCCCTTTCCCTTATTGGGGTATAGCGCAGAAAAACTTGGGTCTCAAATATGATCCTCTCTTCTTATTCTGTTGTAACTTTTACCTCATGTTTCACCTGATGGTACAACTGTTTGGTGATCTGTTTGTTGAACTGCTAATGAGCAGCCATTTCCCACAGACAAGCAATCCAAGGACCATCCATAAAATGTATCGCACACCAAGACTGAGGAGATAGCAAAATTGCAGCAGGAAAAGTTGAACATCAGTTAAAATTGGGTTGGGCAGATGCAACAGGCATGGGGAAGGTGCTTAGAAGGCCTTTAAAAGTGTGGCTTCCTTTATATACAGGACAGACCTTGCCAAGCGCTTTCACTGAACTGTGTGGCATTTTAAAAAACGAAACAGCAATCCAGAACCTTGGGAGTTCTGACAGGACACACTTCAGTAACATTGACAACTGAGGAAAGCAAGCTGCTTCTATTTGCCTCTTTAAAGACTCCATCACAGAAAATGGTTGCCTACCCAGATGTAGAAGTGTTAGCTTATCCATGAGCAAAATGAGAGGGGAAATGGATATCTCTAGAGAACAGCCCCCCAAAAGGACAAAGGTGTCAGATATAGCATCTCCTCTTGTACACTGACCCATCCCATAGGCAGGTATAGGAAATGCTCAATATATACATGCTGAGATTCCTGCATTGCTGTGGGTTGCACTAGATGTCCCTTGGGGACCCTTCCAGCTCTACAATTTTATTATTCTATGGCCCTCTAGATGTTGCTGGACTCCATCTCGCCCAACCTGCACAGTGAGAAGCTCAACCAGACGGTCCACAGGTTCTCTATCCCTGCCATTTTGCATATATACCTCTCCACCAAAATTCTCTCCCCTTCTTACATGCAATATGTTTTTCACATATATAGTCACTTTACTCATTTGTATATCACTTTTCCATATACTGGATAGCTTGGCTGGTTAGAGCATGGTGTTGATAACGCCAAGGTTGCAGGTTTGATCCCCATATGGGACAGCTGCATATCCTGCATTGCAGGGGGTTGGGCCGGATGATCCTCAGGGCCCCGTCCAACTCTGCAATTCTATGATTCTATGATTGCTTCCAAATGTATACAATTCTGTTGATTAAGCATCCACAAAAATGTTGAAATGTTTTCATCTTTTTACCTACTGCTGATTGTAATCTTTTGAATATATCTTTTCTGCAACAATTCTAAATGTTTTATTTTATATTGTTGTAAACCTCTTATAAGTTTTTTTCATAATTAAGCAGTGTATACATTTTGTTAAAATTAGATATGCAATATACTCTACTCTTTCTACACACATGCGCACCATAAATTCTTTCGTACACCAGGTAAACAACGCCTGCTCTAAAGCCTACCCTGATTTTCATCCTCTCCCCATCATTCATTCACTTACTCTCACATGCATTGTACATTACTCCAACTGCAAGGCTGAAGAGAACGTATTCTGTGCTATTTTTTCCAAACTTTTATGCAAGAAGAAGCTTCTTTGTAAGCTTCTAGGTCTGCTGTGCTTGTTGACATCAGCAAACCATGTCTGAATTCCGGTCATGTTACACAGTAATCTGACATTTGTGGCGCAAGGATGGTGCAAGCCCCACAGGTTTCAAAATGAAAACCATAAAAGTAAAGCAAGATGCAAAAACAAACATTATAGGTCTGGTGAAAACTATATTAGCTATGGCTTCAGGCAGGGGGAAAAAACACAAAACAGATGCATGGTCTGTTCAAACCTAAGCAACCATATTCCTCTGTTTGTATTACCAGTACTGATTATTCAAAGAAAAAAACAAAATGTCATTTATGCATAATGACTCCCAGTGCTTTTTTGGGGGGGATGCAGGGGTACACATACCCCCAAACGTTTTGTGAATCTAGGTTTGGCCTCACTGAGGGGCAGTATTTCAATAGAAGTAGGGAAATGAGAGTACGGCAAAACATTATTTTTTTAGAAAAAAAGCACTGATGACTCCAAATAAGAATAAGAATAAGAATAAGAAGCAACTGCAGGAGCAGAGGCTCCATCCATGGCAGAAGGAATGTAAAAAAGGTTACTTTCAATTATTTAGAAAAATGACAGGTTTAGGAGATACAGCTTTTGCAAGAGCACACAACTCTTTCCCAAACCATACCCTGGCAAGAAAACAAACAAACCCACAAACCCTGCAATATCTTCAGGGACTGGACTGAGGCTTCTGTAGCACAATCTTTAGCATGCTCACTCAGAAGTGAGCCATAGTTAAGTGTGTTTAGAATTGCAGCATTACAGCAATTTATCAATAAGGTACTGGACCTTTAAAATTATGTAAGCCCTCCCTCTGGTGGAATATCTTGTATAGCATGTTTAAACCCAGACAGGAAAAAGTTCAGCATTTCCTGCTTAAGATTAGTATACAGAGTTGTTTCAGCATCAGCAGTTTTGGGGATTCTGGCACCAATAACTGTGCACACAAACAGTAATTATGCACACAGAAATGTATCTCTTATGTTTTTCTATGTATGGTTGCAACAGTTCTGCAGGATCACAGTTGTGCTGGTGAAGTTATGGAACCCTGGGCCAGATGCACGCAGGAGCAGCAATATCAGCAACAGGCAGAGAGAGCTGGTTAAGAATAAATGTTTTTCAATAAGTTCCACCGAAAAGCGATACTGTACAGATTATAATTCCTCCACCTTTAAGAAAACAACTTTCACCATCAGAAAGCAGTTGCAGGTTAATCAACGGACTGAAGCAACTGCAGTTCATTATTTGAATGGATCTACTTAGAAGTTTTTTTTATAGGGATGCGGATGGCGCTGTGGGTTAAACCACAGAGCCTAGGACTTGCCGCTCAGAAGGTCGGCAGTTCGAATCCCCGTGACGGGGTGAGCTCCCATTGTTCGGTCCCTGCTCCTGCCAACCTAGCAGTTCGAAAGCACCTCAAAGTGCAAGTAGATAAATAGGTACTGCTCCGGCGGGAAGGTAAACGGCGTTTCCGTGTGCTGCTCTGGTTCGCCAGAGCCGCATGACCCGGAAGCTGTACGCCGGCTCCCTCGGCCAATAAAGCGAGATGAGTGCTGCAACCCCGGAGTTGGTCACGAATGGACCTAATGGTCAGGGGTCCCTTTACCTTTACCTTACTCAGAAGTTTTATTCAGGATCCTGTCCCTTGTTAGGCTTTCAGACTTCCCCAAAGACTTGTATCTTTAAAAAATATACAGTAAGTGAGGAGGCAGTCTCTATTGGAAGTATTTTTAAAAGTTACCAATTACACAGAGATCTTCATCAGGTGAAATGAAAAAGTATGTATACAGCATATCTATATCCACACACATTAAAAGAGATAATTAAGCGTACTAATCTTGATGCATCTATTGCCCATTCAAATTATCAGAAGTTGACAGAAGTATTGCTCTGTGTTATGTGTGGTCTTGGCAGGCTGACCATTTTTTCATTTTAAGTGGAACATCCATGTCTCCCCACTTTCATAAATAAATCATTGACACACACACACACACACACACACACACCCGTCCTTGAGAGAAGTTATCATGTTCTGGCCTCTCTGAGCAAGGAACACAGGTCATAAAACACACAGCCCACACACCAAGTCTCAGGCTGAGAAGCACAGAGTTTATTCTCCAGAGGAAAATGGGGGTGGGGAGTGGAATACGCCCCTAGAGAGACTGAACATAATGCTCCCCATCTCCACACCTTCCAATAAGCAAGAACCAGGAAACCCAGCAAGTATCTAGGAAATAATACTGTATCCTCAGGTGTCTGTCTTATCATATATCCAAGCATGACCCTGGTCCACTGTATTTCTTTCACCCACCCACCAAGTTCTTTATTCCAATCATTACCATATAAAGAGGCTGGCAGGGCAGAGCCTTGAAGGACAAAGGCTTTCTGTTGGAGCTGGGGAGGAGGAGGAGGAGGAATAGAGAATGTCTGAGGAGTTAGCTCTTGAGCACCTTGAAGTAAACAAGTTACAAATAACAACCAGCATATTTTGAAAGGATCATGAGGTATTCTACATAAAGCTTCCCAGAGGTTAAGTGTTTGTTACTAGAGCAAGTGTCATTAGCAAAAAAACAAAACAAAACAAAACAAAAACCAACAACCCCAAACACATTTTTAAAACCTCTTCTCTATACAGTGGTACCTCAGGTTAAGTACTTAACCTGAAACTCTTCTTAACCTGAAGTACCACTTTAGCTAATGGGGCCTCCTGCTGCCGCCGCCACTGCATGATTTCTGTTCTCACCCTGAAGCAAAGTTCTTAAACCAAGGTACTATATCTGGGTTAGCGGCGTCTGTAACCTGAGGCGTATGTAACCCGAGGTACCACTGTATATAAAGACAGCACCTTTGAAGGAATGGGCGGTGATAAAAAGCAAGCAAATGTAGTTGAAACAGCAGGCCAGTTCTGACGTATCTGGAAACCATGGTTTGATTCTGGCTTGTCATTACTAAACCATACTCACAGAGTTAGAGCAGGGATGGAGAACCTGTGGACCTCTAGATGTTGCAGGATTACAACTCCCATCAGCCAAGGGGAGCATGGTGAACTCCCTGGCATGTCCAGTTAAAAAGGGCTGGGTAGCGGACAATGTGAAAGCCCTTCCTCTGCCCTGGAGAATTGCTGTCAGTCGTTGTTGAAAATAATACAGAGGTAGATGGGCAAGGAGTCTGGCCTGGCATAAGGCAGTTTCCTAAGTTTCTCTAGTAGCTGAGCTACACCAGACTTTTAATCTATATGGACATCCACTTCTGCTGGTAACAGGAGAACAGCATATATGTAGCCAATGTAAAAGGCCTAGCAAAAATAAGAGAAGGTGGAAGGAGGCAGAAACAGAAAAATTGTGAGAGATTTTATTTTACTACTATTGTGGGCAGCATAGTAGGGGCTGTACAAGTGGAGCTGCCAAGGAAATTTGGGGTCCTCTATACAAAGTAAGATTAACAGTGTGTGGGGAACAGTGGCAATCCAGTTTGCAGTGAGGAGCAAAAAAAAAAAAAAATAGCCCGAAGTCCAGAGTGCCTTGCAGACTGTACAGCAGCCACTATTTCATGAGAATGGGATACACAACAACTGCCAGGACTTGAAGGGCCTGCCTGGGGTCAAGTCCCTGGCCTATTAAATAAGAAGTGTGCCCATACCAGTGAATGTCTACCAGCCTGATACAGCCACAGAAGACAGACAAAGACTGGGAAGAGACCAGGTTAAAATCTCTGCTTAGACATGGTGCTCCCCAGGTTACTTTGGGCCAGCCATTGTCTCCCAGGGCAATGTACCTCACAAGCAAGGCTTTTTTTCAGCCAAAACTCTCTGAAACTCAGTTCTGGCACCGCTCAGGTAGGCACCATTGCCATTCTAAAAGAATGAGGGAGGTGTTCATGGTGAGTCCCGGAACCTCTTTTTCTAGAAAAATAGCACTGTTCACAAAGTTGATGAAAAGATTAACAGGAGGGGTGTGCCCTGGAGGAAGGGAGGAGGGTGTAAATAACAAAACATCATAATCACAACTACAGGACCAAAATCCCTCAAGGCCAGAAGTACACACAGTCACCCACCCAGTGGAAAGTGCTGGTGGCAGTCTGCCTCCTGCTCAGCCCCCAGAAATGCTGGTCCCTGCTACTCTTTAATTAATCACATCTGGAAGCTAAAACCCCGTTCTCCTGCAGCCGCAAAACCAGGCTAGGCCCCACCACAAAAAAATGGCTTAAGCTACTGCTTCCCCTGAAAGGGAAAGGAAAGTGTTGGCTGGGCAAGGCCCAGGCCTCCTCATTGCTTCTTGCTGCCAGGATTCTTTTTGCTGAATAAGCTGACCTTGTTGGCAGAGGAAGACTCCAGTTTCACTTTATCCATCAAGGTCTTCTTAACAGCGGCCGGGGAGACCTTCTCCTGGTCAGCCAAGCATTGTAGTTCCCTGTTGGAGGAAGAGGGAAAAGCTTGTAAGCTGCTCAGGAGGCTCAGCTAAGGCAGGGCAGCTCTTAAGACTCCATGCCGGCATGTACCTTGTCCTGATGCAGGATGCCTCCACAGCATTGATGAGGAGTGAACGGAAGCCACCACTCTCCAAGAAGTGCAGGGCGTAGATGGTAGCACCCCCAGGTGAGCAAACATTGTCCTTCAGCTGTCCGGGGTGCTGCTCTGAATCCAACAGCATCTTGGCAGCTCCCTGCAGCATTGAGAAGATGAGTGGAAAAGCTCATCAGAAGCGGCAGCTATACACACACACACACACACACACACACACACACACAGCCTCTCTATGGAAACACTCAAGGCAATTTCAAAAACTATGCACAAGTACACAAACCAGAAGAATTGCAACACCTGCCTCAAAACTGGAAAATTCTGAAAAGATTGCAAAAAGCCTGACCTGCATTGCGCAGGACTGAAGCCAACACCATCACAGACATCTGCTGGGCCTTTCCCAGAGTGCCTTTGTTTCCTTCTTGCAATTGCAACAAGAATAGAAGAAAGCAACATGGTGCAGGGTGCTTTCATAAATACTGCTTTTTGAGGTAAATGGAATAGAAGTGCTGGGAGATGTTTTCAATCAAATATTGAAAAGGCAGAGTGGACATAGCTTGAAGAAGCAGCAAACAAGGTGAAATACTGACCAGCAAAGCTTGAGCTCCCAGCCGGACGGCTAGCCTGCGAGGAAGGCCCATCTTCACGCCTCCATCTGCCAGGGCATCCAGGGCTGTGAATGCCTAGGAGGACAGAAGTTATCACAAGAAAATAAAGACATGAAATGCAACCAAGGGGACCAGGGCGAAGAGATAGACTTTACCATCTAGCTTACAGGTAGACAATCCACAGGCTGCATGCAACCCTCAGAGGCCTGGAGTGCTGCCTGCCTTGGGTGCCCAAACTTCCTCTCTACTGCCAAATTCCCCACTGCCTGACTGGCTGTGGAATGTGATTTGCTTGGGAAGAAAGGTGTGCAGGGATATCCTACCCTATGCTGCTCTAATACGACAACTGTGCTCCCCCAGCAGCTGATAGGAAGATTTGCAGACGGAGTACAAATTCTATGAGGAGGAAGCCACAGGGACACCCTCCTCATATAAACTGAGCATGTGTGTGAGAATGAGTGTGTGGGAGCATCTGATCTGGTCCACAACCACCCACCTACCACCGTAGTGTGACCCCCAAAGTGGCCAAAAGTTTGTCCACCCACAAACACAGATTGTTTCTTAAGTGCTATCTTACCTCTGCCAGAAAAAAGGAAGAAGCCAGGATAGACACTCTAAGGAAAGCAAACCTCATATTCCTGAAAGTCACCTCTGCATAAACAAGTTTATTTTGGAGACAGCTCCCATCCAAACTGTGCCTATGACTATTGAGACTATTTATCCAGCAGGCACCCCCAAATGTTAACTGATTCTTGGTCTTGGTTTATCTTCAAATCCATTAAGCAACTGAAAAGCCCATGGCTCAGATGATGTTCTAGAGATTCAACATGCTGCTATAAATGCCTAATCAAAAAAAGATAAAGGACCCCTGGACAGTTAAGTCCAGTCAAAATTGACTATGGGGTGTGGCACTCATCTCCGCTTTCAAGCCGAGGGAGCCGGCATTTGTCTGCAGACAGCTTTCCTGGTCCACGTGGTCGCTTCTGGCACAACGGGACATCATGACGGAAGCCAGAGCACATGGAAACATTTACCTTCCCACCGCAGTAGTACCTATTTATCTACTAGCGCTTGTATGCTTTTGAATTGCTACCTTGGCAGGAGCTGGGACAGACCAATGGGAGCTCACCCCGTCACGCGGATTCGAACTGCTGACCTTATGATTGGCAAGCCCAAGAGGCTCTGTGATGTAAACCACAGTGCCACCCATATACCTAATAAAGAAAAGTACTGCAGGCTGATCTGCCTTCTGTGAAAATGTAAGGATACCACAAGCATCGTTTCTGCACTTAAAATTCCCCCTTGCCTAATAAGTTCTTTTTGCTTCAGACAGGGAAGAGATGGTGCTTACATAAGCAGGTCCACTGCCACTGAGTCCTGTGACAGCATCTATCAAGTCTTCTTCCACTTCAGTGCAGAAGCCCACACTAGCCATCAGTTGTTCCAAGAGCTTTCCATCCTCTACGTCAGCATGGGTCCCCGTAGCGTAGACAGTGGCTCCTTCTCTTACAATCACAGGTGTGTTGGTCATGCACCTGATCACTTTTGGGGTGGGGCAGAAGGCAGAAAGTTTCTTGAGATAAAGAGAAATAGGAGAGACAAGTGAGTATATTTAACATACAAATTGCATTCAAAATGAGCTCTTCTAGCAAAGGGCAGAGATAACCATTTTCAGGGTTCTAGATCACATTGAGAGGCTATACATCACTGACACCATCCTGTGAAAAATGAAGAATGTGTCTGTGATGTGGCAACAAAGTGCTCTGCAACTGAGTTTGTCCGGGAAAGAAGCCTCTGCAGCCAATAGTACAATGGAGGTGTTTTAGTCTACTTTTTTTATTCTGTGGTTTGCTTTATATTCACTGGTGGTTTTTATTATTGTATTCATATGGGGATACAAGCAATGATACACAGTCAGGCTCTCTAAGAAGCCTGGGGAGGCCTGGAACACTTCCAGCTTTTGAAGCCCCTCAGCCATAATAAACGCAGCCACAGGAAAAATGATGACACGTGATAACAAAATAAGGCAGCAAAAGAAAAAAAGAAGAGTGAAAGATTTTAAAAAATCTCGCTTTCATGCAATCTCAATGCTGATGTTAAGCATATGACAAAATCTGTATCAGTTAACAAAAAAGTTGCATGTCTTTTACCAAATCACATCTCCTATTTGCTTAAATTTGTCATTCTAAAAAATTGTGTCATAATTTGAACCAATGAACATAAAAGCCAAAAAAATTAGCAGGTGTCTAAATTTAAAGCCCCCTTTCATCTTTAGGTCCCAGACCAAATGGTCCCCTTCCCCTACCCCCTCCCACTGGCACTGCTCAGAGTAGATCCACTGATATGGACTTTTAAACTTATGTTGATTAATTTCAGTGGGTCTAGTCTGAGCACAACTTAGTTTGGTAACACCTATGGTGTATGGAATAGGTTTATTCACATTTCTATACACCACCCAGAATTCTTCAATAAAGGGCAGTTAAACTTTGCTTTTTAAATCATGACTAAATAATAATTCAACTAAGTTCCCTACTAAGGAGTGACTCTGGCTAGCAGGAAAGTGCTCTGGCAGAGGGGCTGTAAGAAAGTAAAGCACAAGTTGATCCTCACCCCTGTTGACCGGAGAAAGTCACAGGATTGTCACCATCAGTTTCTAGTCTGGTCTTCAGAAAAGAGTCCAGAGGCTACCCTGTTTCTACACTCAGCCTCACCTGAAAAGACTTGCCAGAAAGGAAGGGCTGTGAGTCTCTTACCTTTTCAATAGAGCTGATCGTGACCCCAGCAGCGCATGAGACCACAATGTGCCGATCCTCTATATCTGAGCCAATCTCATCCAGGATGAATGGAATTATGGGAGGTTTCACTGCCAGAAACAGGACGTCACTGTTTTTAACCGTCTCTTTGTTGCTTAGAGTGAAATTCACACCCATTTTCTGGAATATAGGAGTTGGAACAGGTGAAGTGTAACAAGAATAACAACAGGATTTAGACATGCGGGGTCAGCCTAGAATTAGGCAGGATCTAGTTTACTGAAAATTTCAGAAACTGGATGAACACACTCTGTCAGTCACCATCAAGGTCACAGGACTTTGTCCTTTACATATCAAACAGTGAATGTGGGAGGCAGAGACTAAACTGCACTACTGCTTGGATTTTTCTGCCAATATGGATGAAGTGTCCTAAATAGACTCTCCTTGATGGGTTGCATTCCCCATAGAAGATCAGGTACACAGTTAGGAGATGCTCCCGGACTTCGCTTTATTCTTAAATACTCAGGCAACATTAGTGTCCAGTACATTGTATCAGCTTCATTTGGCTCACCTACTGCAGCCATGCCTGGATAAACAGACATGGCCTCAGTTACTTATGCCTAATTACATCAAGACCAAGAGCTGCAATGTTCTCTATGTGAAGAGTTCAGAATCTGCAGTCAGCAAAAAATGTATCCGGCAGAATTTTGGTTGCTGTGTGACAATCAGAACAAATCACACCAATGCTATTAAATGCATGGGCATAGCAGCTTAAAGTGCTGGTATTGATTTTAAAAGCTAGGGTGGCCTCATGCAGAGAAGACAGGGTGTGGGGTTAAGAAATATTAGATTTTTTAGTTCCTGACACTTACCCTCAACCCTGATACAGTAGGGAGATCAGTGTCTGGCGAACTTGCTGTTATCTTGTGAGCAGCCAAAACTCCTAGAAAGAAGAATGGTCAATTTTAGCTTTAACACAGTCTTCTGCCAAGAGCTATTGAGCATTTTCTCCCTCTTCAGCATATCCCTTCCATTAAGACTGTTAGTATGAACAGCATTACCCTTCACGTTATGCAACCGTTAGTTGTGGGGTCTTATATCCTCCCCCCACCTAAAGAATGGATACATATATTTCTAGAAGGTGGCATACCAATAGGCAAATGCCTAGGTAATTTGCACATAGAATCACCAGCCTTAAGACCTTTATGCTTCCCAGATCTGTGAGACAAACCAAGCCTACTTTTGCATAGTTGGCCTTTTTTTGGTAACCAGTCTTACTACTTCTTTCCTAATGACACTTGGCAAAAGGAGACAGAATTTTTCTTCTCCATGTTAATCCTTTGGAGGCCTTTGAGAATCCCCATTGTAGGTTTTGATTGCAGGCAATGGTTGCTGCAACCTGGACATTTAAAATGAAAGGAATAAATGCAAGGAAAACTGACAGTACACACCACCCACTCTTGTTTCTAAGCAGCTAGCATTTTTTAAGCAATGCACATCCTTTAGTGCAGAACAGGTTATTCCAGAGAGGCTGATATTTATCAGGAACACCATTATGGGCAGAATTTCATTAATTAACTTACCATTCCAAAAATGAAGCATAAGATTAAAGTTGGGTGTGTACTAACAAATACAAAAAGGTCTGAGCACATAATGCCAACGCTGGTCCGACTGCACTGGCTGCCAATTAGTTTTCAGGCCCAATTCAATGTGCTTGTTTTGGCCTATAAAGCCTTAAACAGCTCAGGACTGCAATACCTCAAGGACCACCTCTCCCTATATGAACTGACCCAGAACCCTGCAATCATCCTTCGGGTGCTTTCTTCATGAGAGATCCAGCAACACGAGAGTGGGTCTTTTCTGTGGTGGCTCCCTGCTTATTGACTGCTCTCCCCAGGGAGACTCACCTGCTACCTTCATTACATACGTTTAGGTGTGAAGCAAAAATATTCCTCTTCTCCCAGGACTTTGTTTAAGTAAAAAACCCATGGCCCTTTAAACTGTGGAAGGGGGATTGTTGTTGTTGTTAGTTACTATACTATTATTTTGTGTTTTTATATTGTAAACCACCTTGTGATCACTGGATGACGGGTGTTATAGAGAGTTAATAAACAAAGCAAAAAATAAATAAAAGCACACACCCCACACCCAGGCCAGACACTTCTCTTGAACGCAACACCTCACTCCAGATAAGGGTTGTGCCATCTGACAGGAAGAGAAATATGCATATTGGGGATTTAACATCATTTCCATTTTTTAAAATCACAGCTATAAAGTTATATAAGTAAGGAACTTTGATACCAAGAATCCCATGCAGACAGCGGTTTTGACTGTTTATTTCATGTTACATCTTCTTTCAGGAAGCACTGGGGCCTGCCTACCTGCTGCGGTGAAACCCCTAGCCAGGGAGAAGGCAAGCTGCCCCGCGCCGATGAATCCCACACTCATGGTGTCAGTTGCCTGGAGGTGACCTAATGGATTCTTGGGAGTGAATAAGAACGCGACAAATTAGAAGTTTCCCTGCCAGCGACCCGACTGTCTTCAGATCCTGCGCTGATTCAGGGAACTTGGCCAGACCAGGTGGGGCTCACCGTATATCAGATATACAAAAATGCCAGGCGATTTCTCTTCTATATCACTCGCCCTTCCCTCGCCGCCACAACTCAGTTCACCCAATTCGTTCCTTCCCTTCGGCTCCACTTCGCTTCCCACTTTCCCCCCTTTGTCTCGCCAAGCCCCTTTCCCCTCCTTCCGCCCGCTCCAAGTCTCGGTTTGATCCGTTCCGCGTTACTCGCAGCCCTCGCCCCATCCCCTGCCTCTACTTGGGCTCAACCTGCTCCCCAGAGCACAAACCTGATAGCGCCCACGTGGCTCCTTGGGTGGGAGGAAAAAAAGAGCGGACGCGGCGTCGCGTGGCAAAGGGAACAGAGCGATAACACCTCGTCCAATCCGAGGGAAGGGGGTGCGGCATCGTTGGCATCCCGTTCAATCAAATGCTGAGGAGGCGGGTCAACAGATGCTTATTGGAGCAACCTTTGTTTGCGGTTGCATCAGTCGATGCTTTAACGGAAGCCGTGAGAGACCTATTCGACGGCTTGGTTTTCGGCGTAATTTCTCAGCAGGTAATGGCTGCTGCGGCCCATCTGGGCGTTTCCGATGGCAAGCAATACGTACAACGTGAGGCCGCGCTGACCCCTGGGAATCGTAGTCTTGGGGGAGCAGATTAAAGAAGAGGCGTGATAATATAGTTGCATCTTTCAAGTGCAGTATTCGCAGACCCTCCAAGTGTCCCTATTTTCCAGGGGCATCCCTGATTTAGAGAAGCCATCCCGGTTTCTGATTTGATCCCAGAAAGTCCTACTTTTCCTTAGGATGTCCCTATTTTCATTGGAGAAATGTTGGAGTTATCCAACCCCCGAGCCGTCTGAAGGCAGTCCTGTATAGGGAAGCTTTTTAAAAATGTTTAATGTTTTATTATGTTTTTATATATGTTGGAACCTGCCCAGAGTGGCTGGGGCAACACAGTAAGATGTGCGAGGTATAAATAGTAAAATTATCATTAGGGAATGGGACGTCCCTATTTCCATTGGAGAAATGTTGGAGGGTATGAGTTCGCGATTTCTAAAACAAGTGTCTGCCCTGAAAATTATTTAGAGATCAGATTATTCGAGTTAGAAACTTTGCTTTCTAACTGTAATTATTCAGCTATGATTATTTAGTGAAGTTCACTTCGTATATGCTCAGAGGTGCCCTGAAATCAGTGAGCTACTTGGTCCTTCCACACTAGAGCCCTTTAGAACTACCGATGCACTGCTTTTCCACAACCAGCTGGAAGCAGGTCTATAACTGGTTGGTTCCATGCAGCATTTGAAAAACAGTACTGTAGTTTTGCTTTATCCTGTATAATCCTGAAGGAATCATGTAGGTCCTACCATAGGACAACCATTGGGTGAGGGGACAGAAGGGGCACAGTACATTTTAGGTGAGTGAGTTTTGTCCCACATGTTAAGATCTCTGAATAAAAATAACTAGATTAATAACAGGTGTCCAGCAATGGGGAGAGGGTGCAAGATCCTGGGGGGGGGTGCTTGCCCCCCTCTCCCTTGCCCCCCATGCTTTCAGGTGTCCTGAAGAACAGTGTTGAAGTAATATCTGTTCCTAGTCAAGTCATTTTTTGTGCTTGGAATGAGGAGTGGGGGACGGGTTCTCTTTTGCTTCAGGCAGCAAAATGTCTTGTGTATGTCCTTCATCTAATGCACAACCACACAGAAAAGCCAAACTGGAGCAAATCTTTACCGCATTTGACATAGAAATCCCAAGCGATTATTTTTTTTAACCTTTCCTTATTTTTTCTGTTTGGTTTGCATACGTGCTTTAGTATACACACAACACACACATGCACACATACACAGAGGAAAGCACAAAATGTCAAAAAGTAACCGGAGATAGGGCTGTGTTGCATGACATTGCGGTGGGTGGACCAGATGACCCTTCCAACTCTGATAATATAACATGTAATACCAAAGGGGCAAGCGGCTCGTTTTGTACTCTGTTCATTTCTTGTATTGATAACTAATAGGCAGTCATTGCAGATCTTTCAACACCACTGTAATATGTGTAAAAGTGGGTGTTCCATTAAGCACCTTAGCAGCTGAACTTGGCACTAGCTGCAGCTTCTGAACCAAACACAAGACTAGCCCCACATGCAGTGCATTACAGTAGTCCAGTCATGCAGTTACCAATGTATGGAGCACAGTGACATACGCAATACGTATTGTGGTTGCTATGTTAAATATACATAGTTCTCGTAGAACACAGAAGTTGACAGATACATCCCGTCATATTGCTGCAGAGCTGTCAGAAGCTGTAGTTGTCAAAACTATTACATATACAAACAAATGAAAAGCCTACTCTTTGTATTGGGCTAAAACAGAGATAGAGCTAAATAGATTCACAGGTGACTGAAACATTGCGTCAAGCATTTAATGTGATTGTAAATCCCCTAGTTGCATTCTATTTTGCTTGTTTTAAAAATAGATGTCCTAATACTGTGTCTTGTGCTATTAGAAGCTATCCTGGCAAACTGAATGATGAGGTATAAATGTTTTAAATAAACATTACAATCCCATTGCTTTCATTCACAAGTGCTGTGAGAAATGTTATTTGCTTCTGCTAATTCCTTCAATCATTCGCCAGGCCTAGCTCTTATTTTGCATGATATCAAAATTGCCGTTAATGGCAGGAACTAAGGAATTAATTTCTCATAAACAAATGTATTTGTGTGGGTTTGTTGGTGAAGGAAGTAGGCTGTATGTAAGATCCTTCTAACCCTTGGATCCTGCAAGTGTTAAAATTTAAGTCAGGCTAGCTTCCTGTGTTGATGTGATAGCCTGAGTGATGGGTCATAAAGGGAAGCAAAGGAAAGCGGCTCTGTGTGAGATGGTAAATGGGTGGGGCCCCTCCCCAACTCCCCCAGCTCACAGTTTGTTAGAAGGACAAAGCAAGAGTTTAGAGTTGTGTTTGCAGTGATATGGCCTAGCAGCAAAACAGCAAGCAGAGAGAAAGAGCCATGCCAGATCACTGCTGTGGCTATGGGAGAAACAATACACTTTGAGGGTGTTAATGCTATGAATCCGTCCATCGTAGACTCAGGTTGTATACATGTACAAATAAACCGTGTATCCTAAAGACACTACAGTCTCCGCTGTGCCTCATTTCCAAAAGGAAATACAAACCCTGGGTAAGTGCCTGTAACCCCAGGAATCTCATACTGCTCAGAGGCTGGGGTGACGTGCAACAATATGAATGGAATGGCCTATCCAAAGAAGCTGGGGTTTGTTTTTTAATTGGCCAGCTTATTGTGTTGCCTAAAAAAACCCCAACCCTGAGTTTGAAAATAGATTCCATTTGTGGTTCAGGTCTGGGAGCTTAAAGAGCTTGGCAATTGTAGATATTTGGAGTTATGCAGTGAAGGCAATACCGCCTCTAAAGAAACCCTCTGCACCTTTCATTGGATTTACCAGTTGAGTAGTGCCAGTTTGAGACTCAGCTCTCCATGTGTTCACATGCCTCAAATTCCATCCGTGCTTCTCCTCATTTAATCTCCTGGAATCTTCTGAGTTGAATGTCAGTATCTTCTAATGCAGTTCCATGCACTAAGGTTGATGAGACCTTTTAAATGGGGCAGCTCTCATCTGTGAAAGTCACACGTGTTCATGCTTTGTGCTGCTCATCCAGTCTTCCAGTCCCCCAGAGCACACTACTTCCAAACTTAGGCAATGATTTGAAGCAATAAATAATTATTTTAGGCGTTTTGTGAAATCAGTTTTACTCTGCTCATGACTGACTATAGTTAAAATTGTAGGTACAAATACATACATCAATGGAGATATTTATTGTGAACTAAATGCATGAACACAAATCTCTCGTCAGACTGCTCTGGATTCCTTTCCTCTGTTATATGCAGGCGAGAAATTCCAGGGATGGTATTTCAGGATTTATTTTATTTTACATTAGCAGTCACATACCAGGTGTTGCTTGGGAATTCTAAGAATCTAAGAAATCATTTCAGTTTTGAAAGGTTTAGTCTGCCATCTTTATTGAAAATTATATCTAATTGTATATAAATACAGACAAAAAAATCCCGTTCCTTGCTCTGCAAAATGCAAGATTTGGTTATTATCAGTGCAGTTTTGAAAGGCTGATTCCACCATCTTGATTCAAAATGCTATCCAAACATAGATGACAACTTGCTCCTTGCAATTATTAACTTTCATAACTATATAGCATACCTTTCCTTTCCTTTTCCTTTTTATTTTATTTTGTTCAATTAAACTGTTCTTTAATAAATAATAAAACAAACAAACAAAACCACCTGCTCCTTGATCTCAGGAACCATCATACAAAAATTGGTTACGACGTTTGAAAAGGTGTGCAATGCATAGTGAACAATTCCCCAAAATATATAGTAGATAAGAGCACTTATCGGGACGCGGGTGGCGCTGTGGGTTAAAGCCTCAGCACCTCGGACTTGCCGATTGAAAGGTCGGCGGTTCGAATCCCCGCGGCGGGGTGCGCTCCCGTCGCTCGGTCCCAGCGCCTGCCAACCTAGCAGTTCGAAAGCACCCCCGGGTGCAAGTAGATAAATAGGGACCGCTTACTAGTGGGAAGGTAAACGGCGTTCCTTGTGCTGCGCTGGCTCGCCAGATGCAGCTTGTCACGCTGGCCACGTGACCCAGTAGTGTCTGCGGACAGCGCTGACACTTCTCTTAAGTGAGATGGGCTCACAACTCTAGAGTCTGTCAAGACTGGCCCGTACGGGCAGGGGTACCTTTACCTTTTTAAGAGCACTATGGAAACTCTTTCGTGTTATTAGCTCCTACTAATGACAGACAAACCAGTAATCCAAGATAATCTGGCTTCTCCCTCAACTAACATTAGCTGCTATCCCCTCAGGAGTGTCTCTTCCATCTACT